CAGTATATTATGTTTATTTTAGATACAACAAATAGGGGTCCAAACTACACTAATAAAGATGTAAGAGACTTGTTTAACAAGAAGTACAGTGAGTATTTTAATTTGAAATGTATGCTAAATTTGTTTTTATGAATTTTGCTATAAAAGCTAAGTGTGCAGGGTAAACTAGTAGTATCACATGGCATATTAACCCCATCGCTGCCCAGGCGGGCTGCAACTAGCCCTTTCGTAGATTTTACTCTGTCTAATGCCAGATGATTTTATTCATCAAGGGAAAGCTCCTAGTAGCAACGGGTTAATTGCTAAATAAATATCCAGTGACTGGGATTTTAGTATCCTACATTAAAAGTAATTAATAATTGAATCATCTATAATAAGTTTTCTTTAAATGTTATAATAGGTGAAGCATGTGGGAAACCTGGTTCTCGTGTGCCATACCTGAAAAAAGGTTTCACAGTAACTGGTCTTCCTAATGGAATAGAGTTTAGAAAGCCAAATAACTATGGGGAAGAGAAAGTTAAAGCAATAATGAATGCTCAAGAAGGCATAGTTTTTCAACTTGAACCAGAGCCTAGCATCACACATTCTGATGCTGCAGTAACTGAAGAAATCGACCCCCAACAAGCTGAACTTCAACATATTTTATGTAAGGTGGTTGACCAAGAAAAAGCTTTACAAGTGGTGACTGACCAAATTTGCATCGAGGAGAGTGATATGGAAGTCACAGATCTTGCACTCACTGACATGGAGTATAATCTGTTAACAACAAATTACAGAAATTGCTTCACAGAAGATGCATTGACTGCTTTGGCAGCCAATTATAAATCATTTTCTAATCATAAGGGATACATCCTGCCTGTCTATACTGACACAGAAGATGCTTATTGGCTGTTTTATTTTCCTGACAAGATGTCTGATCTTCTAAACCAGCATTCTCAACAACAAATTTGGGGATATTGGTTAAATGCAACTGAAGACAAGTTGACATTCAAGCTTATTATGTCAAAAAACAAAGTATCTATTGACACTTTGAATATTATTACAAAGGAGAATAATTCAAGTAGTTTCCTATTTTTACAAAAAACATTGTTGCTTAAGACTAAGACAACAGTAAATCTTCCTGAGCCATTCCATGACCAAATTTATGCTATTTTAAACGAGTATGGCTTCATATAGTTATATATTTATGATTCCATAAATGTAAATAAGTGTATCCTGTAGTATGGTCACCAGAGTTTGCTATAATACCTGTCACATTTCTTATCTGGTCAAATAATTATATCCGTAAGTATAATTACTTATTTCTACATTTTGTAATTTTATGTTTCTATTTTAGCATTGGTATTTCTTCTTGGTATTTCATACAGTACAGTTGTTTTTTGTTTATTGGTTTGACTAACTACAACAAAAACAAACAAAATGAAATGAAATATTGTAGAAAAACTGATGACATGGTCGTGATGGTCAACAACTTGTGGCCAATTGGATATTGTAGGTTATCAAAATTAAATGTATTAGTGTTTGCCAACAACACCTGTTAATATTGGACCATAGTTGCACAGAATACTAATGCACCTATCAATGTTTAGCCCCATGGGGGGGCATACCCAGGGGAATTGAACACTGAAGATGCCACGAGAGTGGGGACTTTGACCGTATGGAGGGGTTGCTATATGCTGCTTATCAAATTTTCGGAAAGCAAAAAGGTGCTTGAAAGGTGCCTAACTCTGCAGACTGGCCCTGGGGTGGGAAATTGACACTTTGTAGCAAAAAAAGTCAAGATCCCCTGGCCCAAGGTAAGACACCCCACCCTGGGGCTAAATTGATAGGTGCATAACCTGGTTGGGTCAATGACCTAAGTCCTAACTGAAGCTATCACGTACATCATTCATTTCAACAAATGTTTTAATTTATATTGTAGCTTACCTTGCGTCTCCGATGACGGCAACATATTAGTTTCAGACGAGTTCTCACTCTCGCCAGACATCACCCTACGAATTCCTTGATAATAATAAACATGGTTACTGTGTGCCCTTTTCACGTTTGGGAAACACTGTCGAATCCACATTCTCTCTGAGAAATTGTATTAAATATTACGTAATTCAGCCTTAGGGCTGCGATGTAATTTTCCTTTAATAATAATAATAATAATATAATAATAATAATAATAATAATAATAATAATATTATTATTATATTATTATTATTATTATAATATGAATTCATATAATAATAATAATAATATAATAATAATAATAAAATAATAATAAAATAATAATAATAATAATAATAATAATAATGATAATGATAATGATAATATGAATTCATATAATAATAATGATAATAATAATAATAATAATAATAATAATAATAATAATAATAATAATAATAATAATAATAATGATAATGATAATGATAATGATAATAATAATAATATAATAATAATAATAATATTGCCGTTACTGCCGTTTTTGGTGTTATTAGCGTTATTGCCGTTATTAGCGTTATTGCCGTTAATATACCGTTATTGCCGTTATTGGTGTTATTGGCGTTATTGGTGTTATTAACGTTATTGGTGTTATTGGTGTTATTGGCGTTATTGGTGTTATTGGCGTTATTAATGTTATTGGTGCTATTGGTGCTATTGGTGCTATTGGTGTTATTGGCGTTATTGGCGTTATTGGTGTTATTTGCGTATATATTGGTGTTATAACGGCAATAACGCTAATAACGGCAATAACGCTAATAACAGCAATAACGCTAATAACGGCAATAACGGTAATAACGACAATAACGACAATAACGGCAATAACGGTAATAACGGCAATAACACCAATAACGGCAATAACGGTAATAACGCTAATAACGGCAATAACGCTAATAACGGCAATAACGGTAATAACGCTAATAACGGCGATAACGCTAATAACGGCAATAACGCTAATAACGGTAATCACATCAATAACGGTAATAACACCAATAATGCCAATAACAGTAATAACACCAATAACGGCAATAATGCTGATAACGGCAATAACGCTAATAACGGCAATAACGCTAATAACGGCAATAACGACAATAACGGCAATAACGCTAATAACGGCAATAACACCAATAACGGCAATAACGGTAATAACGGCAATAACACCAATAACGGCAATAACGGTAATAACGCCAATAACACCAATAACAGAATAACGCCAATAACGGTAATAACACCAATAACGCCAATAACAGTAATAACACCAATAACGGCAATAACGCTAATAACGGCAATAACGCTAATAACGGCCACCCGTTTCACCTGTTCTAAAACGCTATCTAACGTTAATTCTAAAATTTAGAAATGCGCTTTGAAGCGTCACCAAATTATATTCTGTGCATGCTAGGCTGAATTCAAAATGGCTGATTGTAGTTAATAACATCCGGTGCGAGAGAGTTGCCTGAACTGGTGCACTGTTAGGATTTATGATTGGGAAAAACATGGCACCTAAAAAGTCCGGAGGACGTATAATGCGAAAGCGTTTTAAAGCTTGCAAAATTAAAGTTGTTTCTGTGTCTACATCGGGGAATAAAAGAACTCGTAGTGTTGACCTCCATGGATCAACTTCCGAGGTAAAATTGCAAAATTCCGAAGTCGAGGAGATTGTAGATACACCCAGCCTCGTACCCAGGCGCTTTATTGGAAAACATAAAGGCTGCATTCAGCGTAATATAGAGATCTGTGGCTAAAATGTGCGAGCGCGCAGGGGTGCTTGGGGAGGACGCGACGGGAGAACGAAGCGCCTGGCAGAATATGCAGATTTCCGGCTCCCACTTTTGCAAAAAGTGATAAATGCGTGAAGGCTACAATATGTAGATATATTTTGAAGAAGAATTGAACCTGCGATCAAAATTATGGATGATTTGGAACGATCGTTTCAAAAACCATCATTTGAAGGTAGCTTTATACTGAATTTTTTTATTTTACGACTATTTTGACAAATCTCGTTTCGTAAACAGTGTATGAGTATACTCCTCTGTGTTACTATGCAGTCGCGCAGTATTTAACACTATTTAAATTCGTCTTAATTTCCTTACAAAAGTATCGTCAAGCTCGGAGGAGGAAAGGTATACGTTTGGTATCGAAGAATCAAGAATTGAGTGTTAGAGGCGAGTGCTTAGTTGCCTTGAGATTTAAATATTTCCACTATTGATATTAATTAAACAATAATACATTTTTATTTTCATTCTATATCAAATATGCTATCAAGTTGCAATTTATATGCGTGTTACTAGTGATATACAATAACAAACTCCAGGTCAGATTGTTACCAGCACCCCACAGAAAGAGGAAGGAAAAGAATCATTTCAGCAGGGAAACATGCTTTAGCCCCAATGCTTGGAGTTTGTGTGAATTTAACAATAAACATAAGTACATATTATATATCAAGACTCGATTGTCAGAAATTGGGACTGTTATTCATAAATTATACATATTTATGCTTTTCATAGGTAGTGGAAGATATAAATTTATGCTCTGAATTAGAAAGGTTGTTGGACTAATGACTATTGTGAAGACTCCAATGTCCATGAAAAACAGACATTATTAATGAGTTTACATGGCATTCTGATAATAAAAATAATACTTTGACTCGGGAATTAAAGAAATTTTCCCACATTCTACAAAAAAGAAAATAGTTGTTGGATGTGAAAATATTTATCTCCTTTTAGTAAATAGGACTATGGAACAATATAATTTATACATGTATTATAGTAATTTCTTGGAATACTGTACACAACCTGCATCTACATTGTGTGATGTATATAAGTATATTGCTGTAGGGATGAATTAAGTCTATTATTTGCTTTTTAGTACACCAGTTGAATTTCATGTACAGTACAGTATACCAAAGAGTGTTGGTGTTGTAAAGGAATATTAATGAATTACTCTCTACATAGGTTTCAATAGTTAATTTTTCTTAACATTTAATACAGTTATTTACACTAATTTGTTAATAAAACCACATGGTAGTAAACCATAATATTTCTGTAATGCAGAATGAACTTAATGTAATGGAAAATGGCTTAGATGAACAGAATCAACTGCTGCTATTACTGCATTAGATGATGGAAACATTGAACTGGCTAATGAGCTTTGCAAAAGACCATAATGTGAAATTGCAACAATTTTTCAAATTAAACTCAGCATGATAAAAACGTACCAGGTCAAAGTCAAAATTCTTAGTGTTTCTGGAGGTGTTAAAATAACAGATTCCCCAGAAAAACAAATTAATAAAGAAGTCAAACAGATGGAAGAAATGTGCAACCTAAATCTGATGTAAATCATTGCATATTCGAGTAGATTCTCTTCTTTCAGCGCTCGTTAATAACTGTTTGTGCTTTGATATTCAAAAATGATGAATAATACAACGCAGTGACAATTTTTGCACAAAATCTTTCCCAAATGTACCGCCCGGTGATAGGGTGTACGGCAATTTGCTCATTTGCATCTATGAATATGAATAAGTCGTCCGCCGGCGCCATATTTGTTGCATATTCTGCCAGGCGCTTCATTTGTCGCGTCCTCCCCAAGCACCCCTGCGCGCTCGCACATTTTAGCCACAGATCTCTATATTACGCTGAATGCAGCCTTTATGTTTTCCAATAAAGCGCCTGGGTACGAGGCTGAGATACACCGATGACTTGCCCGAGCACCACGACTGGTTTGCTAGAAAGTGATGGTGAGGACGCGAGTCAGTCGAATACAAATCTGCCCTCAAAGCATCAAAAAAGAAGAACGAGAGAGTTCGAGGAATGGGAAAAGATCAGGGAAAGGCTTCTGAGTAGCCGTTATGAGGTGGATTTCTTTGTAGAGGGCATAATGTGTTGTCAGTGCGATTCACCTGCTGACGTTCGCTGTAAGGATTGTGGGCACGACGTGCACTATTGTTATAACTGTGCCAAAGCAAGTCATGGTGGACGAAATTATTTCCATGTCCTTGAGATGTTTAAGGTAGCGATATATATATATATATATATATATATATATATATATATATATATATATATATATATATATATATATATATATATATATATATATATATATATATATATATATATTGATTTCGAAGTTTCCTGTTTTGTTATCAGCTGTACAGCCATGTTTTGCTTGGGATATTTATCAATTTAATTTCAATTTTTAATTAAAATATAGGCTGGTTTTTTGTACCATTGTTTCCTAATCATATTGTGATGAGCTCAAGCCATCAAAGAAACTGCCCGACTTCCATTGCTAGAAATATTGTGTGTATTGATGAGTATGGTTAGTTTATATGATAATGGATAATTGGAACAGCTTTCATTGATCATTAGCACAATTTAAATTGTGATATTACTAAGAATATAGGTACAATACATAATTATAATAAATATATGTAAGTGTTTGGTTGGGGTAAACCAGATAGGTTATGTATAATATGTGTATAATGGTTTTTTAATATTTGATACAGCTACAGGTATATATGCCCCAGGTTAATTGTTACCAGTGTCATTGAAGGATTTAAGCTAATTCTCTTACACGGTTACTTTTTGCATTATAGGACGGCAACATCTAAAACAAATACTTTTCTGTAACTGTGAAAGTGATGTGGCAACATTGGTAAAGATGCAGCTGTGGCCTAGTTCTGCAAAGCGCCCTGTTATGGCATTTCACTACAAGCTAATGGAGTTGTTAGAAGCACTTGTGATGGAATGTCAAGTCTCTCTTCAAAAGTTTTGTGACATGTTGGGAATTATTAATAAATCCCCCATGTTGCCTAAGTGGGTGAGCAATTTTTTTGTTGTATTTTATATATCATATGGCACATGTCATTTTCATTCCATAGAAATCATTTTTTGTTATTTAAGTACAAATTTTCCAATTTCTTTATTATATAGGTGAAAAATGTTTATTCTTGTTTAAACAGTGATTCTTTTGATGAATTTCGGTGTGTATAAATTTCCACATGTTTGTTATTATAGGGAATAGAGAAGCACGTACTTGATTTTTATACACAACAATTTATTGTTTAATCTGAAAGTAATCACCACACAAATTATACACTCAATCACTCATGAACCATGATGTATTTTTTGTGTGGCAATTAATTTTATTTTTTTAAACTAGAAAAGCTGCTAGAGCAATAGATTATACAAAATGTTACTGGTTGGTCATTTAGGCTGCTCAGAATTGCAGTGCACTGATATGAAAAATGTCAAAACCTGTTTTTTTTTGTTTTAATACAAATCTAATGTACTATTCTTAATTTTGTGTGTTGAACAAAGTATTTAGTGCACATGTTCTGTACAAAGTTAGAATATAAAGCTTTATTTTAAAGCTACCACCAGTATATGAGAAGAAATGGCAAGTTGTACGTCAACAAGGATATGGAGATGGATGAGCTTTGTCCTCTTTGCCCAAAGGTAGTCTCTGATATAATTATGTAAATGTCATCCAAATTTTTAATGTGATGTAGTCACAAGAGTAAAATTGGCCATTATTTAATTAAATGTGTTCCAATATCATTAATTACCTTTTATCGACCAGGGTCATACAGGAAGTGTAGTGGAGTCTATGGATGGTTGTTTTGGGCTCGTTAGGAAGAAATCAGCTGGTGCGAATTTTATTCCTTCCAGGCATGGTCTCACTATGTTTGCAGACCAAAATGATGTTGACAATTTTGTTGACAATTACACTGAAAGTGCTAAACAGGCCACTGTGGTAAGTTAATAATGCATTAAGTTTACAATTCGCACAAATATTGTACTAGTAATATATGCTGTACACAGTGGCGGATCAAGATATAGGCCGGCTGAGGTTGAATTTTGAATTTTAAAGTCAAAATACTTTAACAGCGACACAATTGATTTTGAATTTCTAAAGAATATTTGTAATTTAAAATCTACCAATGTGATTGCAAGTTACATAGATCTGTAGTAATTTATTTAGTATTTAGCCTTACCCCCGATCCACCACCAGCTGCACACACGAAATTAACTTTGCCACTTTTCCATGATACTCTTCAATTAGTATTGTGTTAGAGTTCAAAATGTTTTTTCCTTGCACTTACATATTGTATACAACTCTCTCAGTTTATATCGTCAGTGACAATATATATATCATGCATGGTATGTGGTAATTTGAATTGGACGAATTTATCATTTTAGAATTGCAATGAATTCAAGTCTGGGGAGGTAACTGATATGCTCAGATCTAAAGGGAAGAACAAGCTCTATGACGAAAAAGGTGTTTTTGGGCGTGTTTGTAGGCACGGCTTCCCCAAAGGATTCCTCAGCATTAAACATGGTGAAAGGTACTGAATTTTAACTTGGTAATAAGCCTCACATAGAACTCAATACAACTAACTTAGTTTTTTGTATTGAGATGCCCACAAAGCATCCATGGTCTTACAATCAAGCTTTATACTCTTTCATTAAATCGCTTCTGCAGAGGATCATCTATACTGTTGAAGGCGGGACGTAAGAGCCTATTCCTAGCGAGATGTACAAACCACCATTTCGAGATGTGGTTTAGATATTCCAATACCGAAAGAGAAGAAGTAAAGTAGCCCTTAGAAGTCGAACCTGGCTCTCTGAATTCCCCTTTTTTGCATCTTGTAAAGAGAGGAAACGATTAAACCAAATTTTTACTGTAACTGAAATATTTTTGTAGGATTGCTTATTCCGTTTATGAAGTTGAGCGTCTGTTGAGCAAACATAACGGTACAGCTGTTAACATCAAAGTTACATATGATATAGCGTGTACACTGGAAGCCCATTTGAAGGTTAGGTTTTGTGAGTTAGTTACCACTGTTTTGTATTATAATAAGTCTGGTTTCAATCTTGAAATTATTCTGTGGTAGAAAAACGAAAGGAAGGATATTCTGAATGCAGTTAGTTTTGCTATACCTATTTTTCACTGTTACGGACACAAGTCAGCATGCCAGGTATAATAACATCGTCTTGTACTATGCTATTATATTACAGGTGAATGTGTACCTTGCTCTTATGTTTATTGTTTTTTCGTTAATGTATTCAGATAAAGTTTAGCCCAAGACGGCAACGAGGCTATGCTCTTACAGACGGGGAGGGGATTGAAAGATTGTGGTCCTATTTGCGAGGTTTCTCTTCAATGACAAAAGAAATGAGTGCTGGTCGCCGAACAGACATGCTTACAGATGCCCTATTACATTATTCAACACGGCAACTCCTTGCATGTGGTAGCTATTTCAGTATATTATTCTTATTCAGCACATTTTACCAGTAACCGTTTAAAAACTGTAAAATGGTTATTTGTTAAAATGTTATTATAATATTCCAAATTTTTTGGACAATACAATAACTTATATTTCTATGCACATATAGGGGAGCAACTTTTAACAAAGCTGAAGAGGTGTCCAATTCTTATAGAAAACACTGTGTTACAGCTAACAGAAATTTTTTCTGGCCTGTCGGGTATGATATTGTTTTTACTAGTTTGGGCCCAGATACATGCAAAAGACGAAAAATGAACAAGAATAAACAATAAATTACCTGAATGTTTTAGTTCCTTATGATGAAGTAGTGGTTTCATCGTGGATGAGAGATGAAGAGAATCTGATTTTAGCAAGAGGTTTTACCCCATTGACTTCCAATGCATTTGAGCTTGATATTAATTATTTAATTTTGTCCACTACGTATTTTCTACTTAGATAAGAAGACAGTGGTATTGACATGGGAGCAAAAATATGTTCAAAATCTTATTCACCTCCATCAACTAAGGTATACGTAACATCTTTTTGAAGCTTTGCGTTTCAAAGTGTGTTTTAATGTTATGTTCTATAATGAAGGTAAATTTTTCAGTTTGACTTTTTCTCCTTCTGCAGGTTAAATGTCGCCTCTATTGAAGAGGGTGATCACAACCAATTGGTGGAAGTGGTAAAGAAAACAAAAGAGTAAGTCAGAGCTTATTGTAATTTATATAATGAAATTCTAGTCAGTAATTAATTTGAATTTATTGTTTTTCACTGCTTATATATATCTAGTGTGACGAAAATTGTAAGGAATATAGAGAAAAGTAACAAAGTCTCAAAGAGGTGGAAACCTGGGGAAAAACACTTTAATGCATCAGCTTTATGTTTGGAAGAACAAAGACGTAGTACAGTTGTTGACCAGACGTATAATTTAGCTGTTGAAAGACTTTTTTTGATTTCTCTCAAGAGGAAATATTCTGGTATTAAATTATTTTGTTAAAATTGTTCTGTACCCTAATGCTGTGGTTTATAGTAGCTGAAATATTTTAAATCCTGAAGACTAGGGACTGGTTGTGTAAAAACGTAGGTCATTTTAACTACAGTTAGTTGTGTCTGACAAAATTGGCCAATTACAAACGTGTATTTATGACTTAACTATGCACGGCATAGATATTTTTCAATGTAACATAGGCGCGGCGTTAGCCTTATATCAACTTCGCAACGAAAGTGATAAAACAACTGCCTGAAATATATTTTTTTTGGTGTCGTGTAGATGGACAAGCCATAGCGTCAAAGCTGTCCAAGCAGATCACCCGTAAAACCAATGCAATCAAAAGCGTTATAACGAAATATAATGCTTCTTTGACTGCTCTACAAGACTGCGTTGACGGACTACCTGACGAGCTGAAATTTGACATAGCAAAAGACCCAGAGTCGTCACTTTATTCCAACTTCTCCACCCAACGGCCTGTCGAGACTGTTCCTTTTTCCGTCAAGAGATCCGCAATCGACCTGCAAAATTTCCTCGAAAGATGCAAAGAGGAGCAGGAACTTTTGTTAGAGGAAGTTGAAAACCTGTTTATGTATTACATTGAAAAGCGAGATAATTTCACAGAAATTTTAGAACGACGTTGTCTTGAGGAATCCAGGCTATCGAATGGGATTTGCAATCATATAAGAAAGGAGATTTGCGAGATAAACAACGTGTTGGTGTCTTTGCGTTTGACACTTTCCGATTATATAAAACCATGGCTTGCAGAAAAACTTGATAGCGTTGACAGTACATCGTCTTTTCATATGTCAAATGTCTTAGAAACGTGTGTTGAAGAGGAAAGTGAAATGGAATGCATAGATAAAGATGCCATAGAGGATCTTGTGGACTTGCTAGATGACAGAGACGAAGACGAGGAATGATAGGGAATGATTGCTGCATTGAAAACAATCATATCTATAGTATCGGCATCTCTTGTGTAAATAACCGTAC